TTACTTAATTTTTTCCTAAAAATTCTTCAGTAGAATTGTTTCTATAGAAGATAAGTAAATACAAAGATAATTCTAACTTTGTAACCATTATTTTATTTATAACAATATATTCAATACAAACATATTATATAAAATAATCATCTACATTCGTATAGTCACATAATTAATACCTTTTAGGTGACAAGTACTTATGTTATTGTAAGTATTTGAGTAATATTATCAGTAACTAACTAAGCAATATTATGGGTATTATGAGTAACTTGTTTAAAACTTAAACAGTTAAATTTCTTAAATATTATTCTTTATGTATATTCTATATTAACTAAATTTGAGAACCTTTGAACAATTTTGTCTTTCTTATAAAACGATATCATTATTGTCATTTTTATCATCGTCATAGCCAAAAACATTATTGTAGTGTTCCAAAGTTGTATCTTGTCCTTGGTTTTGTGAAACTTCAGATTTTATTTGTTGATAAACAATATTAAAACCTCGGCCAGTGCTAATTTTCTTTGCTTCCCTAAAGGTAGCTGACATTTTTGGATTTACTTGTATGATTCTTTTGTTATACAAGTATTCATAAAGACTAATGTTGGCTTTTGTTTCTTTGTTCGTTTCTTTGTTCGTTTCTTTTGTTTCTTTTATTTCTTTTTTGACTTTTTGTTTTTCTGCAATTTTAACATCATTGTTGGTAATATTATTATTTGTAGTATTTCCTGTAGAATCTCTTCGCAAAGAAGTATTATTTGCTGTGGATACATATTTCTCTGGTTTGATATTACTGTCATCCTCTACCTTGGTTTCCTTTAATTTAGAAATTAAATCTTCAAAGGAAATTTTATCATCAGTGCTTTCATCTCTAAAATACATTGCTTTAGAAGCATTTTTAGGTACTCGTAGTGGTGATTCTGATTCCTATTATAATAAAAAATATATATACCAATACAACATTTGGAACAATTTAAAAAATTATAAATAAATAATGAGTGAAAATAGAATAAAATATTTAAATACACTTACTGATTCTTTCTTTATAAAACTTTTACTGTCTATGCTACCATTGGTGTTGTGTTTTTCAATCTTAGCTATCCTCTCCCTTTCATAATTTTTGTATTGTTTCTTCTTTGCCTTTGATAATCCTATTACTGGTCTAAATACATTTTTAGTTTCTGAAGCTGTTAGTGGATCATACGTTACATTATTCTGAAAAATGTAATTAATTATTGAAAATATTACATCCTTTTATCAGACTTCATAGTAACATTAATAAAACCTCATATACATATATTTTGTATAAAAATAAAAAAATGTTAGAATAATTTTTTAATTACATCTCCAGACCAATCTTCGCCATAACAAACATTAGTTTCCATACTGCATGCAGATTGTAAAGATACTGTTCCGATTTCTTTTTCTGATTCTAATGACATCTGGTAGCATATCACATTTCCATTTGTAGGACATACTGATAGGTGATGCTATAGCAATAACAGATTAGCATTAAAAATTTACCATACCAATTATTTACCATATATCACCAGTATAACAATATGCATATTCTAAAAAGAATATACCTCATACTCTTCTGGTTTTAATCTATGGTTCGCATTGAAAGGACATGTAGCTCTCTGATTTGGATAATTTTTGCTGCATTTAAATATATGTTTTTGAAGTCTACCATCAATAATTCTATGATATTTATCAAACGGACAAATAGTGTAAGGTCCAAAGAAAGACATTTTTCTGAAAATAAAAATAAAAATATAAAAATTAAACATCTAATTAAATGTATGTTTGTATTTAAAAATTAAATTAAAACAGTAAAGTAAAATTTCAATATTTTTTTACCCTCATTTGTTCCTCATTTTTATAACTTCATGAGTTTTTTCTGTGTTCAACTGATACAATGGTAAAATTTAGAATTAATACAAATTTCGTTAATATTTTTACTTCATCCTTTCTTTATTATCTCGCGTTGACTTTATACTGGTTATCAGTCATATACATTCACACAAATTCTACTTCAGAAGAATCATGAAAAATAACAAAATAACATTATCTTTTACTAAAAAAAAATGTTAAATCGACAGAGGGACAAATGTAGATTAAGAAAATATTCGTACACGATTTAGAAATCATTATATATGTATAATTACCCATCGTTGTTAGACATTTCTAATAATATTAAATGTACTTCTTATAGTAAACAGTACATGTAACAAATTTAGAATCATGTAATAATTTTTATTAATTATTTCTTATTTTTAACAGCTTTGATTTCGCAATAAAGTGAAATGTAATGCCGCATCAACATTTACCATACGCTCTGCTATACTCAATTAGGGTAGGTACCACACATATTACTATTGCAATGTGATAAACGTTTTAATGGATAGTTTCAATTTATAATTTTAATAAGTTTATAACTCGTTAGATATAGAATTATAATAAAAGAAGTAAAAATATATTGAACAACGGAACGTAAATTTTATTTTTTTAAAAATGGACTATTTATTGCGTAAAATTTATTAACATAGAAAAAGTGATTTAGTTGTTGTTCTAATTTTCCCAAATATTTATTTTCTGTTTTACTAATGTTTCCAATTGACAATTATTCATTTTACGTAGACGTCATCTATGATATTGTTTTCATATATAGGGTATCCAATCTTTGAAACATATAATTTGAGTTGCACCACCACTATCTTGCAAGAAAGGCACACGCTTCCTCGCGCAGTATGGCCCGCTCGATTCCAGTCGTGATCTGTTCGACCACGTTAGCTCAAAAAGATTTTGTTTCATTTACGAACGAAATCGTCCGCAAATAATCCAAGATTCACCATGGACGTCGATTGGGGTATGAAATAATCAATATACGAACGTCTTCTACAGTACATGACTATACTTCAGTTCAAGACGACGAAATGATTTTAACCTTCAACGTTACAGATGTCGATAACTCTGAAGCGAAATTCGACCTCGCAATCAGAACCAACAAGTGGGAGGGCGAAGATGAAGAGGAAGAAGTTAAGGTTTTATTTGAATGACTTTTTATAATAGTTTAATCAACCTGTTTTCCAAATTTTCATACTCACACTAATGGTTTATAAGTATGGTTAACCTTGCATTGCGTGGATCAACACGAGACTAATAGCAGGGTAGTTGATTGGCGAACAGACTTGAAGTTTGCCACGAATGAAATCAAATCTAAAATTCGGATGAAAATTATAGAAAAATAATTGAAATTAACATCATGATTCATGTTTACACTTAAATAAACAATTGTTGAATGATCTATATACAAAATTAATCACCTCAAATTAATTTTGAAATAAATTTTAAGTTAAAGAAGCACTTACGTATTAATTAAAGGGACGATGACATTTATATTTGAACTTAAATAATATTTGTGATAGTTCGATTAAAATATGTATAAGATATATCTTACAAATTCTAATTTTTAGAAACTATAAACTTAAATATTAGTAGAAATACTTAATGATATAATAAATTTAAGATAACAAAATTATAATTTAACATATTCCAAGTTTGTATATTAATTCTGTAAATGAAAAATCATTCAACAGGATAGTTGGGAAGATGTTGAGGAAGAAAAGAAAGATATAGAGAAACCTGCAGCAGAAGTGCCAAAAGTGGCCAAACCAAAGCCAAAGAAAGCTTTGGCAGAAAGGATCGAAGAACGTGAGGTATTAATAATATGTAATTTAATCTACACCATTTCTATTTGTTAATGACATTCAACATTTTGTATATATATATATATATGTGCACAACATAATATTAGCTTTTATTACTTGTTCAGAACTTTTATACATGTATATAGCATATAGTAACTTGGAAACTTATTCGGTGAATTCATTTTTGTACTTGTAAAACAATTTATGTTCTCATTTCTGTTCTCAAGATTCGTTTTCGTAAATCGACTTACATTTTCAATGGAGCAAATGATTTCCGATAAATAATTACAGTATTAAAACATTTTAACGTTCTCTGTGCCTTGTTATTGTAGAAGAGAGCAAGAAAAGAGGCGGAAAGGAAAGCAAAAGAAAAAGAAGAAGAATTAACACCAGAAGAAAAGAGAGCCGAACAATTGAGACGTCAAAGGCTGCAAGAGGAAGCCGATCTACGTCTTGCCATGGAGACATTTGGTTTGTCCAACCTTGTTGATTTTTCTCACCGCAAGCCGCACAGAACCGACAGAAAATGATTGCGCTAGAAACGTTTACGTATTAACTCTTTGCGCTCCCACTTTTATTTAAGTAATATTATCAGTATCGATTTTCGATTACTCATAAACTAATATAATTACTAATATGATATTGATAAAACGAAAAGATACTACTATTTCTATTTACATATTGAAATTAATTTTCTTTCGGAAATATTCAGAAGCATGTATTAATTTGATTTTTTCTTGGAAATTTGATCTGCTTGACTGATTTTACAGGATTAATGAGTAACGGTACCGTAATTTTGCAAAAATTGACAAGTTGTTAAACTATAACGATGGAAAGTCATATAATAAAACCTGTAAAATACGGTTATAATACAAATTTATGTATAGGTTTATTATTATTATTATTATCGTTAATATTAATATTATTACTATTATTATTTATTTTACTCAAAGATTGTTACATTTTAATTTGAATTTTATATTTAAATATCGCATAATGTATTTCATAACTTTGAAATAATTCTCAAAGAAATTGCAATCACTGAATCTTTTATTGAATCTTGTACTATCATTTTTTATTAGACTTAACGAAGTCGTAAATCACTTTCAATCACTAAAACATAAAATATTTTTAATTTGATGATTATTAAAAGCTTTATATATAGATAATGGTCATTGATCTGTAATTGTATCTTAATGAAATGTTTATACACTTTAAAGAATTATTTATTAATCGATGGACTCATAATTGGACTGCAAAGGGTTGATCCAATATTTATTTTCTAAAAAACAAAACGAGTTCTTAATGGCTTAGTAATTTTACGCTTTGTCTTTCATAAACTAATATAGAGTATATCGATAAATATTGAGTATTATTGGTGTAAGAATCGTAATAATTATTTTATACGTTTTAAGTATACATGCTAATCAAAGAAATTAATAACTATAATCAGCATTAAATTTGTAACAATTCATTTTGCTTTAAAGAACGCAGTATAAAGTATTTTTTTATGTAAATTTAAAATATAGTTATAAGAATTCTATGAATTTATAAATAGTCTTTATACGCTCAAATATTCTGCATATTTTTAAAATATATTACTATAAGAATTCACACAAATCTTTGGAAATATTTAAATTCTCTAATATTATATTTTTAGAATATAATATTACGTGTATTTCATTTGAGAATGCAGTCACCATTGTAGTATAATTGCTTTAATGTATACTTAAATTTACAATGTTTCCAAATTATAACTCATTGAAACAATTGATTCGGTGTCAG